AAAAATGCGCCTGTGGATAGCGTAGCCCATAATAATCAGACTCATTGCGTAAGTCGTAAATTAGGCTAAATTGTACGACTCGACAACATTGACGTTGTCTATTGTCGTGCTGAAATAAGTGAACGACGAAAATCGTCGAAACCATGCAGTGCTGCCAAGTTTTAATACAGGTCGAGTCGAAATTTTAGGCAATGACATGAAATTTTCGATACGATTCGACTCTCGCAATGAGAATGATTAAATTTTAGAGGTCACTCAACACGAGTTTCTATTTTCCATTTAAATAACAGAGGATAATTTTTTCCCAATTTTGAAATTTTATAACTCATTTTTAAGTCAACGTAACGAATAAGCGATATATGTATTTTTTGAAAGAAATTGAAGGCATGATTTTTCCCCAAATTCAGTCCTACAAAAGTTATTCCAAGTTTAAAGTAAAGAACAAAATGTAATGTCAAGAACGTTTCCACAACTTAACGTTAAGAATGAGAGGGACGTCTGCGTTTTGGGATGAAAAATCGTTGCAGTGAGATCCATGATTCTTAATTCAAAGCCAGAGGACAGCTGGATCATTTCAACTTTCAGATCGTTTATCGTAGGGTGAACTGCCCATATTTGGAACAATTTTTAATTTTCTGTGCAAGAAAAGTCCGTGCCTTAAGTCTTTCATCGACTTAATAATTTGCATAATTGTCTTTCAGTTCATTTTTGATTAATTTTATTATTCAAGCTTTGTTGCTAGCATTCGTTTCCGTTGTAATGAAGTTACAAAGAATGGCGGTGAGTGGACGATTTCTTCTTTTAAAACGTTGTGGACTTATTTTAAGATGGTTCTATTAATCCAATGACTTACTTAAGCCGGCTGTTTTCTTATTGAAAGTACTGAAATTTGATTTTTTGTAGGGAATAGACTAATTCCTATTCTGTGTTTGGCGTCTAACCCTTAGAGTTAGTTATAAAAAAAACTAAAAACATAAATAAGTTACGCATTAGCTCAGCTACGAAAATATTTCTTTTAGTATTGAAAAATATACAGGGTTGGAAGAATAAATAGGGACACGACAATATTTGCCTCTTTTTCTTCGTTTATTTAATATTTATTATTTTTTTATAAAATTATAGCTCATTATCTATCTTAAACCACATAAATTCATATTTAAAATTTTGAGCAAAAATTATAAAAATTCAGCAAAATTGCATCTAAATTTTCAACTTTTTAGTCAGATTTTTCAGATTATTATTATTTTTTTTTTGAGTATTGTACTAAAATTTAATGGGCTATAAAACTGCATACTCAAAATAATTCTAAAAGATCTGATTGAAAAGTTCAAAATTTAGATGCAAGTTTGTTGTTAGTTGTAATTTTTGCACAAAGTTTGAAATATGAATTTATATGGTTTTGTTAGATAATGGATAGATAATTTTATAAAAAAAAAATAATAAATATTAAATAAACCAAAGAAAAATAGGAAAAATTTGTTAAAATGTGTCCCTATTTATTTTTCCACCACTGTATGTATTATGAAAGCGTTTAGTTGCTGATAATTATGTACATACATATGTATATACCAAAATGGTCAAAAAAAAAAGGTAATCGATTAAAAATTTAGATATCTCAACGAAACTTGGTACATGTATTTCTCTGGGACTAAGAATGGATGGTATTTAAAACGGTAAAAATCGGGCGACAACTACGCCTACTTCTCATGTAACGGTTGTTTGCTGAAATACAAAAACTGCGATGTTTAAGTAACTAACTACGCAAAAAAATATGATTTTTTGTAAAATGGGCGTACATAACCACCTATAATTATCTCTGTAGCAGCTTTTCGAATTCGTACCAAAATTGTACAGTTGCCCCGAATTCCAAATTGTAAAAATTCAAAGCATCAGTCCCTTTTTTTCCTAAAGAATTGCAGATAGGCTTACCAACCGTCCTCCACAATAGATAAACACCTACTCCATTTTATGTTTTTTTTCACATTCTTAATTGTTTGGATATGAAGATCGTAAATTACTTTGAAAAATCTGACATTGAGAACCATTTCACTTATTTTATCAAACTGACACTAGAATATAATAATGGTTCGGGTTTTCTAAAGAGTGTTTACTAGAGCAAATTTTCAAATTAGTTTTAACATCCGGATTTTCCTTGCGATGAACTTAAATGAGCTTAACTTAAAAGATTTTTAGAGTAATTGAACAATTTATGAGAAAAATATGTATATGAGCATTTTTGAGTTTTTGCCTAGCGGCAAAAATTTTGCATTCTATGCGGTAGCACATTTTCCGAATGAGCTTTTTCAATCATGAATGCTAAGTGCAATGTGTATAAAAAGCAAGTTAATAAATTTAAATGTGCCAGAGAGTATTGACCCGCAGAGTTTTACAATGTTATTAAAAATAACAAGAAATCGATTAAAGCGACGAAAAGCAGAGAAAGGTACTCATTTAAAAATTTAACTGTCTACCGTACTTATGAACTTATATCACAGATATAACAATTATTTATGTACCTGTGTTTGCTTTTATTCTTCATATATATGTTTTTGTCCCATTAGCGGGGTTTACACGATCCAACATGTTCGACCACTTGGTGTGATGATCAGTGTTACCGTTTCAGGCCCTTGGTGGCTAAATTTAGCTACCACATACTTTTTTTGGCCACATAAATTTAAAATTGCCCCTAGCCCTTTTTTAGCCCTTTTTAGAATTTATTCATACTTGGCATGAAAAAGTTGTATATGCTTAAATTGTTTTTTTTTTTTGCATTTATGTAAGAGATGAATTTTTAAACTAAGAAAGACTGATATATATACATATATGTATTGTATGTTCCTTACGCCTTTATACATACATACTGTAAAAGTGTTGGGGCTGTTAACTTTTCTGTTAACAATTTAACTATAGTTTAAAATAAATTTGTTTATAAATTTGTTAAATGACCCATCAAGTCAATTGCCCAATTTTCTAAGTAAAAAGTATTTTGGCGGAAATTTCTTGCACTATATGAGTCAAAGCTGTATTTGTGGAAGATTACGTTCACGATATTGCAGTTGTGAATTACAAAAAAAAAAACAATGTTAAACAAAGTGCTAGAAAAATTATGAAATTTCGGCTCTAATCATTTCCATCTTTCCTCGATCTCATTTGTAAAGAAATAGATATTGTACCAGCATGCTGGTAAGTTATATGCTTCGAGCCTGATGGTACAATCACTTGATGGAACCAGCAAGCAGCTGGTACAAAAAGGTTTTTGGTTGGATAAAATATTAGCTTTTTTTTCAAAGTTCATTGTTTTTATATATATTTTGTTTAGCTCTTTTTTAGCCCTTTTTTTAAAGGAATTTGGCTACCACTAAAAATTATGCGCGGCAACACTGGTGATGATTATCGCTTAAACAACCGCTCGACACACGTGTTGGCTGGTTTAAAAATTTTTTTGATTTCTCACAGTTATGTATGTTCGACTCAAACCATGTTGTCCTACATGTTGGATCGTGTAAACCCCGCTATTCATAGAATGGCTTAAAGCATGTTCACATTACCGTAATTTACGGCTCATTTGTAATTTATAAGCAAATCATGCTGAAATCAAGTAATTTCTCCATGTAAAATCGGTCAATAAATTAAATAGAAATGAGATAATTTATCATAAATCAAGAACCAAATGAAGAAAAAAAAATTTTCACTGTTGAGGAAATAAAAAAAAAAATGCCTAAAAGTATGCAACCATTTTTTGGAAATCAGGTAAAACCACCACATATATAGAAATCATGAAAGAAAATGTGAACGTGCTTGATTTATATGAAGTAATTTAATCGAAACAAAGTAATTTATGCTGTACTGTGAACATAGTTTTAGGTTTTTTTTTTTTTTTGATAGACGATTTTATTAGAATACCTTGAAGCAAAGACGTCTTCATAAATCGTCCTCCTTAAAAATTATTTTGCCCTCACTTAGGCGTTTTAAAAGTTGGCAAGCCTAATTGTAGATTAAATTTCCCAGCTTGTGCAACTTTATTTGAAATTAGCAAACAGGCATGGTAGCTGTACTTCAGAAATGACAGAGACTTATGCATTGTGCATTTGCATTTGAAACTCAGGGTTGTTGACTTTGGACCAACATAGAAAGATAGTTTACAGAAAGATGAAAAAAATATATACAGTTCGGTTTCGCCCGAAAAAAAAATTTGTTTTTTCATTGTCCTGCTTTCGCATCGTATCGTATTTTATTTAATAAAATTTTGCATTGTTATTTTTTCTTAAAAAACTCACAAGCGCCCTGATACTATTTGTGGTGTGCATGTTCGTGACATAACATTGCTTTGGATACCGGCAGCGAATCTGGTTAAGCTTTTTTATTTATATATTTTCATTTCCATACTCCCATCTCGTCCAATATTTTATGTACTTGCGGTGATGATTGTAGTTTCGGTCGAGTATTATGACCTTCATTTGAAATTTCCCCAAAAGACTTGTCCGCTACTTTTAATTTTTTAAAATTGGTTTAAGTTATTGAAAACCTTTTCTTTTATTTTGTAGAATTACATTTTCTTTTTTTTTTAGTAGCTTGCTAATTTTCTTACAATCATTTCTATTTATAAATAAATACCTTCCTTGTAAATTTCATGGTAAATGTTAATGTTTTGTGAAATAAATGCAAATCCAAAAAAAAATAAACAAATAAATAGTAATTAAGAAAAAATAAGTCAGTAAGCATGTAAACAAAACGTAATTAGCAAAAAAAAAACGTAAGCATAAAAAAACCAATTTTAGATATTAAAATAGTGGCCGACGGATGTTTGGCAATCGCTGCGAAAACGGACATTGACTTAAGGCATTTCCCTCCAATCGCCACTGCATATGTGCCAAAATTAGATCCAAACGTAGTAGCTTCTGAAGCGAAGCTGAATGATAAGAACACTACAGTAGCCATAACTACTACAACAACATCACCCAAAGTGTCGTTTAAAATTCAGAAATTGTATAATAAATTAGACAAATCTACAGCGCAACAACCAGCGACAACTGTTGCTCGCGATAATGACGACGAATTGTCAACTACAACAACAGCATCAACGGGTACAATTGAGGCAGCAACGGCGGCAACGAAAGGTGCATCAACATTGAGAAAACCCGAAACTACTGCTGTTGATGACGAAGATGGCGCTGGCGCTGGCGGCGGTGGCGGTGCCGTTGTCGGAGTAGATGATACTGGTGTTAGTAGTAGTGCCAGTGTAAAACGTCACATGAGTATTGATACGTCGGAGCAGCAGCTGATTAAGCCAAAAGCACCACCGTTGTCGCCAGTCGCTTTCGAGCCTATGGATGTAGATACCACTGGCAGCGAGGACAAAAAGCGTCTATCTACAAGTAATGTGGATTTGGAGGAACCGCTTGCCAAGAAGAGTAAATCAGCGAAATTTGATGCGTAAGTACTGAGCCCTGTGCAAAATGTTTTTTTTTTTTACCTTTCATGAAGATTAATTGGTATTTTTAGTTCGTTGTTTATAAGTGCAAGAATATGAACAGATGAGCTGAATTGATTTAATCCCGTCCGTCTGCCTGGTTTAACGCAAATTATTACCTCAGTATTAGAGATGTCCAACTTAAACTTGATTGTAATGTATTTATCGTTAGGACAATAAATGTGCCACTCTTTTAATATTATCATGAATAGAAAGTTGATAGTCACAAGTAATCTTTAAGCAAAAAACAACAATCGATTTCAATGTTCATATAAAAATCGGAACTAAACCAAATTAGTATGGAACCATCCTTGAGGTACATATGTATCGTACCACCTATCCGATCAAAATTATCGCAAACGGTTCACGTGGTGTAATGTTATCCGGCTACATATATAAAAAAATATTCCGATGAATTGATAACCTCGCTCCTTTTTGTGAAGTCGGTTAAAAATCATCAAGATTGAGTAACTATAACTTAGACATAACTCCCATACAAGAGATTTTAAACTAAACAATTGTATTTTCTTAAAATTTCAGACCTTTTATTCGATTTATTCAAACAAATTTCACTAAAAGGTCTGAAATTTTAAGAAAAAGTTGTATAATAAAGTGCTTTTTTGAAGTTTATACAAAATATAGTTGAATTTTGGTCCTTTTTTCTAACGGCGACCAATAAATATTACTTTAAAATTTCATAATTGTAGGCTAAAAATATAATAATAGGTAAATTAATGTATCGGTGGCAAATGTATTACTGACAAATTTAAACTTTTTCATATATATATACAGTCAGTCAATAAAGTTTAGGTACAGCGAATTTTTTACAATACGGGCAACTATTTTTTAAATATTTTATTTTTCGATAATTTTTTATAAAAATATGGTCAATTCTACAACAAAAAACCCAAAAATCAGGGTTCCGAACCTTATGCAAAATTAAAGAAAATTCCGCAAAAAATATTGCACTTTTTATTTACGCTCTCTAGAAAGAAGTTGGGTATGCAGTTTTTTAGCCCATTCAATTTTAGTATAACAAAGTGCGAGTTTGTGGTGGCTAGGACTTGCCATTGATTTTTAGGAATTTTTTTTGTTGAAGGTGTCGCTCGTTTTCTCCATATAAAATAATGTTTGATAATTTTTTTATATGGAAAAAATGTGCGACACCTTCAACAAAAAAATTTCCCAAAAATCAATGGTAAGTCCTAGCTTCCTCATACTTGCACTTTATTATACTAAAATTGAATGGGTAAAAAACTGCATACTCAAATTTTTTTCTAGAGAGCGTAAATAAAAAGTGCAATACTTGAATGAAATTTTGCAGAATTTTTATTAGTTTTGCACAAGGTTTGGAACATTTCTTTTTGGGGTTTTTGTTGTAGAATTAACCATATTTTTTATAAAAAATTTGCGAAAAATAAAATATTTAAAAAATAGTTGCCCGTATTGTAAAAAATTCGCTGTACCTAAACTTTATTGACTGACTGTATATAAACTGTGACAAACAACCGTGTAATAAAAACTGTGACAAGAATTTGTCACTGATACCGAATAGAGCCGTAAAGCTTAATTTTCTAATACATATATTCATGAAAGGTATAAAGCCTTTGGCATGGCCGAAGATGGATAACACTGTCTTTAAATTTTTTTGTTCATGGTTACCAATTTCACGCAATCGTTTCTTGAAAATTCGCTTTAGATTATTCGGTGATGAAGATGTGGATTTGCGCACTGGCATACCGCCACAGATATTGGCTGCACAGCTCCAGCAGAAACCACCGCGTAGTGCGAGCAAATCACCGACACCACCGCCGCCGCCGTTTATCACTGATGAGCAACACGCGGAGAGTTGGAATAATTTGAAGGTGGATAGAAGATAACCTATACTCCTTTAATGAAAATATTCTTTTTATTACTCAAATCATATTTTTTTATTTAACTTGCAGACTGCAAAAACAACAAAAACATCATCACCGTTAAAGAAGACTTCAAATCTGGATGACGTACGCGCCAAACTGGCGAAAGCAACAAAATATAGCAAATTAAATAAATCCGGTGGGTATATCCTTCTTATCATTATCGCATCTTAATCATCAGGGTTAGGATTTTAAGGCATTTGCCTATTTTGTCTGCTTAGTCGTATCTGTAAACAAATTAAAAAATCACGTTTCATGTCTTCCTTGATTAAAAATTTATTTTTAAATTTTGCCCTTTTTTTTGCCTTTTTTGGATATACTGCCTTTTTCTGCCTTTTCGGCATGTTTTGCCGTTTTAATATTTATCTCTTCATAGAAGTTCGCTGTATTGTACCAATCGTTTGACTACAAAAAAGTTGTCGTCCCTATTTTTTTATTTATTTTGTACCAACAGTCCGCTTGTACAAATCTGTACAAAAGTACCAATCGTGTGACACTGAATTAAAATATTTAATTTTTATATTTAAAAAAATTCAACAAAATTTCGTAAAGATTTCCTAGAAAGATTCTAAGTATGTAGTTCTGTAGCCCATTGAATTCTAGTAGAATAAAGTAAAAGTTTCAAATGGCTAAAAATTATGGTTGATTTTTTAGAATTTTTGAAAAAGCTTGAAATTTTCACGAAAGTTTTTGAATATAGCAAAAAGTTGGAAACTTGAATTTACACGGGTTTTGTTAAAGAATGAACTATATTTTTTATAAAAAATAACTAAAATTAGATGGCAATAAAAATAATATGTTAAAATTGGTGCGGCTATAATTTTTTCATTACCATTGTATTTTTTATATATTTAATGGGACATGTATATGGGCATTCCCATGGTGGCGCACGTGACAGTCGTACGATTTCAATGTGATACAAAAAAGGAATACCATTTGTTTTCTTTAACTTTTGTGGGCCATTGTATAGCACATAATTAGTTCTATATTTAACCGAAAAATGAAATCAATCGAACTGCTTGGTCCTGAAATATAAGCATTTGTGTCGTTACGTGACAAAAAATTGAAGTTGATTTTTTCTTTTCTTACAAAATCGCAAAACTGCGAATTGTGGATGGCTATTTTCATGAAACTTATTTTAATATGATTTGGAGCAATTCTAGTTGTTTTTAGAGTTTTTTGAATTAATGCAAATTGTTTCAATTCTATTTTACAACGCCAAGTGTGAAACGTGACGTGACGTGGCGTCACGTGACATAAATTCCCATCGTTATATTTTTGTTAATATTGCTTTTAAATGAATTTTTAACGCAAATAAAACTTGTATTTTATGTAGAATATACTTTATATTTTGACTTCCGCGCCAATTCAGGGTCAAATTATTAAAAATCTATGATTTATTATGTTTCAACCACATACGCCAAATTCGAACCAAATCGGACCATAAATACGGTTTTTCGAATAATCTCGACCTTGGCACCACCTAGGAAGACCATTTTATGCAAACATGATTCTACTTACATAGCCAGTATATACTTTAAAAAGCAGACAAATCGGCCCGTAAATACGTTAGATATAAAACTTTTATTTTTTTTGTCGTGGTGGACCTTCCGCTGGAAACACCCATATGTATTTGCATTGTACTAAAGGTATATATTAGGGATGTTTGGAATGTCATATCTTTCACATTCGCGAATGCGAATTCGAATTTTCGGAATGGGAATGTTAGGAATAACATTAAAAAGGCTCAAGTTAAGTCATCGCTTTATTACTTAAAACCTATACAGAGTGTTAATGTAGTAGTCAAAGTTCAAAAGGGGCTTATTATATTTCAAAAAAGTGTAATTTTGCTGCCTTTTCTCCCATGAGGCGACTTATTAGAGGTTCGTATATAAGGCCGGCTACACTGAACAATTGTTCACTTGGAACGCTGGCGGGTGGAGCGCTCAAATATTTGCGGGCCAGATCTGACAATTTGTTGTATTTTAGTTTATTTTTCAACCAATCGAGAGTGTTTTCTCGTTTTTCTTTAAGATAGGCCTTCAATTGAGCTATAATTTCACATTTTTTAATGTCTCCAGACTCTACACCGAGCCTTCGCTTTCGCTGGAGGAATCTAAAATTATTTCTAGTTTGCGTGTAAGACTTTTAGCAGAACTTGTTGAAGGTCCATCAATTGGCTTGACTTATCCGTTTAGCGCCTGAAGCTAAAAGCCGGTTATTGTCCGCACCCTTGTTAAACAGACTTAGATCCATTTCAACAATATTGGAGTGGACTCTCTGCCCATGTACATATTCGCATTCGCAAAACATTCGTATCATTTGATGCGATGCGAATGTGTAAAATGATGCGAATCATTCGCATAACGAATGCGAATACAAATATTCGCAACATCCCCGGTATGTATATAACAAAATTAAAAACTAAATGCCCATTTTTGCCTTTTTTGAAAGCTCAAGTTAATCACTAACTATGGCCTTCGCATCTCATTAATTGCAGAAAAATCCGCCAAAGACCCCTCTCAACGTCTTAAACTTTCGGAGACAGAATTGAACGATGACTCACAGGATGCGAATGATGAAAAAATACGCACGATCGTTGCACAGGCACAAGAACTACTCGAAACTAAGTCCATTAATCAAGATCAATACAAGAATCTCATGCAGAAGGTGATGTCCATCAATGAAACGAGCAAATTAAAGGAAGCTAAGAAGCGTGAATCACTTGGTGGCAATGCAGCACACTCGAAGCAAATTGACGACGATGAGTCCGTCGAAGCGCAGCGTGCAGCTGCGGCGCGTGAAGCCGTGCTGAAGAAACGCATTCCAAAGTTGATTAGAAATTCCAAAAGTGACAATACCGCCGCTTCTGCACCGGATTTGGGCACAAGTGCCACTTCAACTAGATCACCCCTTTACGATGATCGTAGCAATGACAACAGCGACATAAGTGCGCCGGCACGTTCGAAGCCGCAAAGAGAGAAACGGTTAAAACCTTCTAAGTGGGGCGACAAAGTGGATGGCGCTGCTAACGCTGGTGGGCCAGGTAATCCCAATCACTCCAAGCCATGGACGAAGGGCGGCATGATGAGGCCACATCCTGGTGGTGGTTTCCGTGGTGCGCCGCCGCCCCCCACTATGCCCAGTATGCATCCGCAAATGCCTTGGCAAATGCAACTGCCACCCGGTATTGCACCAGTTCCACCGTTTGTTAATCCAGGCCCAATGATACGCAGCAGCGTGCCGCCACCGCCACTGGCGCCAGTGCTGCCGATTATTCCACTGCCGCCCAACATACCGAAGCCCTGTAACTCTATCGACAATCCACAAGCCGATTTGGTGCGCACCATCACTATTGATGGTCTGTTAAAGGAAATACGCATCTATGATCAGGTCGCGATTGTATTCATGGAATTGGACCAGCCGCGTGAAATCGGATTTCAGGCCGGTCAGCGTTCGATTATCATTGATGATGAACCGCCAATAGCGCTACAATTCAATGATGACTACAAAACTTTCAGCATTAATGGCCAGCCGCATCGGTTGCGTTTCGGATTTCCATCACGTGAGTTGTACATTGACGAGCACTGGTACGAAATTTACTTTGGTGGACCGCCCGTATCGATACCCATACAAAATAGAATACATATACTAAAAGCTGAGGGTCCGCCCCCACAAGTGAACATTGGTGCTTTGCGGCGTGACTTGGTTGTAGGCAAAATCAATATGATTGTGGATGCGCACATCGTTATACCGTTGTTCCTAGATGCGAAGCCGCAATGCTTTAAATTGGGTAACCAAGACCACACTGTACAATTTGCGGACAATTTATTGACTGTGTTACTTGATGGCGAACCTGCTAAAGTAGAGTATGGTGGATTGCCCAAAAGTTACGTTCTTGGCGGTGTGAGTTACTTCATCCGATTCGGCGCGCTACCGCAAGGCTTGAAAGCTGGCCAAATTGTCATTAAAGATATGATTTATGTGAAAACAGAGCCACCCAAACCAGAGCCTATTGAACAAATTACCACGGCGCCGAAACAAGAGGTTATTGAACCAACTGCTGAAAGTGTAAAAACGGAGCTGGATGTTAAGACTGAATCTGCAAAGATTGAACAAGATATTGATACAGCAGAGGTTAAGCCGGAGGCCGAGGTTGAGGCTCCCGAGAATGAAAAGCCAGCGGTTGAAGTGATTGAACCGCAAGTGGTTGGAACAGCGGGCAGCGGCAACTCGGCTATACCAATATTCTCTGCAACGGCATTAAATCAGATCAATATAGATGAGCTTTTCCAAAAATTAGTATCTTCTGGCATATTGGGCGGAGCCGGTAGCGTCGTAGCGCCTAGTAACAAGGATGCTGGTGTTTTGCCATCAGCTGCCGCGCTTGAAGAGGAAGCGCCACAGCCGGTCGCCATTAGGCCAATCGACCTATCCAAGTCGGAAACAGTCAAGACGCGACAAACGGCAATTGTGGACACACTATTTTCGGGCATGCAGTGCAGCAGCTGTGGCGTTCGTTTTCCCCCCGAGCAGACCATCAAGTACAGTCAGCATTTAGATTGGCATTTCCGACAAAATCGACGCGAACGAGATCTATCGCGGAAAGCGCATTCGCGTAAATGGTATTATGATCTCGCAGATTGGGTGCAATATGAAGAGATCGAAGATTTGGAAGAACGTGAGAAGAATTTCTTCGAATCGCAGCAAAATGACATTGAAGCTTGCGATGAGACATCAAATCAAAAGTGGCTAAATTCGCCAGTACCATTGAGTTGTCCGGCCTTGCCGGAAGATGTCGATCGTGCATGTGATATGTGCCAAGAGAAATTCGAGCAATTCTACCACGAGGAAACTGAGGAGTGGCACTTGCGGAATGCCACAAGGGTTGAGGATAAAATCTATCATCCGTTATGCTACGAAGACTATAAGGTAATGTTGTTTTTTTGATTCGTGAGTGGTATGACTAACAAGGCCTTTAAAAATTGTAAGGCTGCTCTCAATGCCAAGGCTGAAGAAAAAGATGAGAAGACGAATGACAAAGAAGCAGATGAAACAAACACAGATGACGACGTAATTATTAAAATAGAAGGTGACGACCAGAGCGATGGTAAGTTATACTACACTGCCTAAGTGTACGTTAGATTATTTTTGCAAGGCGCAATCCATTGAAAAAAATGAAAAAATCCCGATTGTTTTCGGTTAAACAAGTATTAGTATTCAATAATGTCTGCATACAATTTTTGTCTATCCTAATGCTTCATTGATTATTAATTTTTCATAGTTGAAGATAAAGATGCGAATTCCACCTCCATCGCAGTGGTGGAAGATGATGACGATGATGTTATCGTGCTGCCGAATGAAGAACCCTCGGTGACGGAAATCGACGATGATGATGAGTACGTACCGGAGAGTGTACCACCACAAAACGCAGTTAATGAGCCCATTGACATTGATGACGAGGACAATGCAGAAGCAGCTGATGCAGGGGCTGACGCTGAAGCCGCGGGATCGGATGTGGAAATACAGGAGCCGAATATTCCATTCACAGACTTGGATACGTACGTGGAAAAAGAGCAGCCAGATGCTGATGAAACCTCACAATTGTCATTTATGAATGTAAAAATAAAGGAAGAGCCTAAAGATGATGATGATGAAGATGAAGATGACGGTTTTGAGGATGTAGGCACTGTGTTGATACCGCCTGATGAGGAAATTTCTATACAGAGCAGTGGTGAGTATAAGGAGAAAATTCGTTTTACATTCATCATTCTGAAGCTTTTTTTTTATGTATTACAGAAGAAACACAAACCCAAACGATTACCTCATCCACGTCGGGCATGTCGCCCACTACCGAACGGCCGCCTTCCTCACAATCGCTTGTGCAAAGTGATGCCACGGAATTCGCCGAGGGTTCAGCAACAAATGTAGCTGCAGCGCCAACTGATTTGAATGCCTCCATTGACGGCAATACCGGCACCGAAGACGAGCATAATTTGTCCACTGTTGGTCCATCACCTGCGATACCATTGGCTAGCTTAGTTAATAAAATTAAAATAAATATTGCTAAGAGTAGTATATCAGCAAATAGTAGTAGTACTAGTAATAACAATAATAATAGTAATAGTGGTAGCGCCTCAACTGCAATAGCCTCCAGCCATTCAATGGGTGGTAGTCCCAGCAAAGCATCAACCATTTCTGATGCGCATACAGGCGACAATAGTGACGGCTCTATCGGGGGCGAAAATACAGCGTCGTATAGCAATGTATCGGCCATAAGTGTTGTATCCACGATACCGGTTTTATGTGGCGGCGGCACTATGGGCGCGCGGACCACCACCGTTATTCCGGTGTCAAGCAGCAGCAATACGAAAAATATAGCTGCCAATGAGGAGTCCAATGTAAGTACGATATCTGTAATTGGTAGCTATGGTAGTACATCGTCAGCGCCGCGCTATTTCCCCCCGACCACGTCAAGTACAATTGTACAGAATATTGCGAAGCGGCAACAACCCACTACAACGCCGCCACCGCCGGCGCAAGAAGAACCATTGCCGCATGAATTGAAAGAGTCATTGAAAAATGTCAAGCTGACAAAAACGAAAAAAGTACAGTGCGGCGTCGAAACATCTGGGCTTTGTTCCGTTATGTAATCAGTGCAAGCTAGTCGACAGGGAAGCATAAAAGCTGTTTAAAAAGTAGAAAAATATTAAGCGGGGGTTACGTTTATTCATTTCACATGTGAATGTGAATTACACCTTTATGCTGTTGTATATACACATATGTTCATACATATATACACATTTCTGTATGAGGTTATGCGTGCAAATGTGTTATGTATTATATTCCAATTTGGGGGAAACTGCATAAAAATGGGAATGGATTGTTATTTTATGATATCAACGTTTTAAAACTGCAACAAACATATTGATGGTTTTAGTTTAATTTTTTTATCTTAATTTAGAAATGTATACGAAGCTCTTAATTTAAATAATGAATGGCGCTTTTTCGTTTTTTGTTGGAACTCTTGCCCGTGAGCATGTATACAAGTACGCGTGTGCATAGGCGATTGGCTTGAAGCCATGTGCGTGATAGCTTGTCAATAAATAGGCGCGCTCGATGAATCAGTACTCTGCGCAAGACAACCAGCAACTTCACTTACATCGCCACATATGAAATATTTATACCAATAAACAGAAAAATAAAGAAAACTTTGTTATCACTTACTTTTCCATTATTATTTGTAACATTTTCTTCGTGAATAATATATAAATAAACTGCATTACCTATATTAATGGGATACAAAAAAAAAATCATTGTTTTTATTTTACAAAAAAAAATATAAATAAGTTATAGGTTTGAACTTAACGGCGTAAAATTTTAAAGAAAGCACTGCTTTAAAGTATAGGAGCGTCCTCGCATTAAAATTATCCAAAATTGTAGAAAACTACCACAGTTTTTACGTTCTCGTACCCAAAAAGATGCAAAGTAGGGACAATTATAGAGCGAAATGACATAGAGTTGCAAATTTCTGCTGGAAAGATTTTTACTTGCGAAAACTTGCAACTTGATCGAAAATATGGATTTTGTAAATTACTGCAAATTATATAATTATTAATATGAAAACAATGGTTGTATAAAATGTTTCATTTGTACCATATTTTCCCTAAAATATACCAAAAAAGATACATATGCAGCAGGCTGGCATGTTTTCGCCTGAATTCGTCAGTTCTGAGTAAGTTGTTGCATCATGGGTTGTTGGATAAAATGAAAATAGTATAATTTTAAAGGTACTTTTTTAGCTGTATCTACTTGAATGTTTTTTAGAATAAGGATAAGTGTTACTTTTTTTTAATACTTCATGATGTGGAATCACAAATAGTAATGAGAAAAAATGTTAAAAGACATACAAAATGTTCTCACTTTGTCATAAAAAAATGTTAGGTGTTAATATAAAGCGTAAACCACTATATATCTTGCAAGGCGATGGTTGAAATCTACCTAGATTCAGTTTAAATTTTTTAATTGTATTTATACTAAGAATCGTTTTAACACAATTCCTTTCAATTATTATAAAACAAATCATTAGTAAACAAGTGAGCAATTATAAAAAAAGCATTTGATAAAAATTAATATCCGGCCGTTTTTAAGGCTTAATGGGGTGCATTATTCTAAGTAGAAATAATAGTAAGGGAAACAAGTTTACATGTAAGTGAAATTTTTTAAGCTTTTTATTTAAAGAATATAACAACATTCAAGGCTTAGTTAGTCTAGACTTAACTTACGTAAGAAATCGTCTATGATTAGTCAACACGTCAACTTAGCCAGAAGCGAAAATATTCTGTTTTTGTATTTCCTTTTCAGTTGACTGCCCCATTGCCGCACATAAGCAGCATTAAAAAATTCCTGAACAAAAATATATTCAGGGCTATCACAGAATCCATCGTAGCTTCGATTTTCGTGAAATCTACGAAAGTGCTATCACGGAATCCGAATGGCTACGAACGTAAATTCGAAATTCGTAGTGAGCCTTCATTGAATCCGTTCGTAATGAAGATTCGTACAGATACTCTACGACGAGATTATGCTGTCGGAACAAAATTTAAAATCATTCAATCTTAAAAATAGTGGACGAAAGCTGTATTATTTTTAATATTAAATATTTATTATACTCCAAATTTGTTATAGTTTGATATAATTCCATATATTTGTGTAAACGTACCAATGCTATACAACGTAAAATACCAATGCTATACAACGTAAAATACCAATGCTATACATACATACATATGTATGTACATACACGCATTCATCTGGCAGACGCTATTTAATGAATTAATATTTTGCATGAATCGAGGAAATAATAGTTTAGCAACATTTTATTAGGAAATAAACCTAATTACTTTAATATCATAAAAATTAATTAAAAAAAAAAAAAATTTCTATTTAGAATAATAAAATCTACTAAAAATAAACTTAAAAAAATATATTTATTAAAAAAATAAACAAAAACTAAATAAAAAAAGAAAAAAATCTCCACTGTCCCACGACCCGGACTCGAACTCTGCTCTCTCAATTGGCCTTTCACACTCTGCCATTGCGCCTGATTGGGCATAGTGCGCAAAATGACATACATAAATGTCTGTTGTTTCCTTTGCACTAACTGATTTCGAATCAGCATTCGAAGCTGGCAACGATATTTTCGAGTTCACTCGGATTCAGTGATAGCAATTTTTTCGTATTCGTAGCGGGCATTTGAATTCGTAGATTTTCTACGATGGATTCCGTGATAGCCCTGATTGCGTTGGCCAATATACTAGGTTAGTCCCCTTTCAGACACGTCAAGTCTTGAAAGCAATTTTTTTCGCATTCTCTTTTGTGTTTTCTATTTGCTTCCACACGCGTCAAGTTTAATTGAATTCAAGTCCTTGGTTCTTAAATTGGGAAGCAACGAAAAGATCAAAAGAGACAAGAAAACTTGAAACGAATTGACGGTACGGAGATATCTGTACTCTTCCCCTCTCTTCTCACCTCCTTCGCCTACGAACGAGCAGACTTGAAAGCAAGACTTGACGTGTCTGAAAGGGGACTTATGGTACGTTAATTAAATGTAGACTTACTGAACCTTTAGCCCACCTTAATTTCCAAATGAGTTCTAGATTTTCCTGGAAGGTTAAAGCAAATATCAAACGAGTTTTTTCTTTTGAAATACATACATACATATATTGTGTTCCGTTTATTAGTTACATATATTGATTACTTAACAACAAGTTTTTTACCCACGGACGTAAAAACGGAGAACGTGTCAACTGACACGATCTATCTCACGGTGGAGAGAATACAGAGGTGGCGCCGATGACGATACCGCTA